GAACCTGCATTTTTACATTCAGAATTGAAATATGTTACCAGAGCTCTGTTGGGACAAGCAAAACTGAAACTCCAGTGAATTACTGTTTTTTTCTCTTATTGAATGTCACATAACAACATAGACCTTTTCATTTATATAGCAAATGTCAGAATTTGACTGATATGAATGGGTGAGAATGCAGATGCTTTTGTTGTGCATATCTTTGTACACATATCTTTGCTGTTCATTATTCTAGATTCATCTGTGTTAGTACATGGATCAGAGGGTCTAGATGCTACACTACAGATAACTTCCCTAGCACAGATCATACTCAACCCAGACTGCAGAACACTAAGAGGGTAAGATCTCTAGCATGAAGGAACTGTTGGCTGGGGTACTGAACATGATTTGCAGGTTCATACCTGTACTTTCACCAGTTCATACATCCACCTGATCCTTAAAACTTAGGGATCAGGTTTTACTGATTGCTGCATGGAGAACTTTTAGGGTACTGGCCATTTGCATTGTGAGCAGTGTTTTAAGACCACATCGGGATAAGGCTGGCTCCAGGCAGGCCAATGGGGCCAGAGCCCCCCCCCCCCGAAAAAAGAGCCAAAACCTTTTGTTTGGGAAATAATGAAAGGCAAATATTTTGGTCTGTTGCATGTCCCTTCTTTCAAAACGTACGTAAAAAGCCCCTTTGTTTGTAGCCTCATTCCTCTGAAAGGCCATGAAAGATTGCATGAAAAAGTTTCCACAGTTTTTCCCCCCCCCCAAAAAAAAATTCCCCCCCCCCAAAAAAAATTATTGTTCTGGATCCTCCTTACGTTAAGGTAATGTAAATTCCAAGACGTTTAACTTCGCCTTCCGTCAGTGTTATGTCACCTGCACAGGAACTTATGCTTGGTACTTACTCTGAAAAACTTCATATATTTAAATCTTCGATAGGGACTTGAACCCCAGGTCCTATGCTTGCTAGTACATTTATGCATTAGTTGGGATGTTTTAGTTAACCCTTGAGTTCACTTAATCCTTGGCATGATGCCATTGACTTTGGTCATCACCCGTACGATCTTTCATTTAACCCAGGTTTGAAGCACTGATTGAGCGAGAGTGGATTCAAGCTGGTCACCCGTTTGCCAGTCGATGTGCCAAGTCCTGCTATGCTGGCAGTAAACTCAAATGTACTGGCCCCATCTTCTTGCTCTTCCTGGACTGTGTGTGGCAGGTAATCAGAACTGGGTTCTATACTGACAGCACCTGACTGTCAACATAATATCTGGAAAATCTTTATTAAATTTGTAAAAATGGTAACAAGCAATCTATATTTTATGTGAAATGTTTGTTTCTGGTTGATACAAATATTAATATTTGGCTTTTCACTCTTCACCAAAGTAATTTTGTATGTTCAGAGTCGTCCAAGAAATTGTGAGAACATTACCGACATGTTTGGCGGATATCCAAACTCTTAACCTGCTGCTCTTTAGTTCAGACATCTTAACTACTCAACCACAGATTTGTTGGGGTCAGCTGGCAGGTTCAGATGTCAAAATTACATTGGTGAATTGCAAAACAAGAGGTGGAAATGAGTCTTGTATTAAAACTATCTGATTGATAAAAGTGGGGGGCCTGTACGTAGAATTTATTGCAGGGGACGTAGGACTTCATATAATGAATAAGTGAAGACAAGTCAGTTCAAGGTTCAAACTTCATACATTTTAATGCCTCGACTACAGTCACAGAGTTCTCATTGGCTGTACAAGCTACAGATAACTTTATGGGTTGACTTGAGGGGTTGACTGACACCCCACTCTCCTTTTCGCCTCCCCCATGTTCACATGTCCAACATTGTGTATGTCACACGTCAGCCGCTGCCTTCTGTCATTGTACAATTCTTGCTCACCATCTCCCCTGTCTTTGATTCAGGTCAGTCAACAGTTCCAGTGCTCCTTTGAGTTCAACGAACAGTTTCTTATCTTCCTCTTTGAGAACACCTACGCCTCCCAGTTTGGGACATTCCTGTGCAATAACGAGCATGAGCGACAAATGCTGAAACTCGCCGAAAAGACTCAGTCCCTCTGGTAAGATGACTATGCCCCAACTCACTGTCACCAGATTGGAAGAAGTAGTTACAATGAAAGCCGTGAAAAGTCTCAAAAGCCTCATCACAATTCCAGTCCAAGTGAACAGGGAATGAACAAAGATATAGGCACGCCTTTGTCACGTTTCATTTGAGTTGCTTGTAACTCAATGACTTGTTTTCAAGTTGTATTTTTTTTTTTTCGGACCGACCAGCCGACCCCAGCAAGCTCGGTGGTCGAGTGATTAAGACATCTGCACTAGTAAGCAGGAGGTCGTGGGTTCGAGTCCCACCCGAGTAAGCTTGTGATGTTTTTTCGCAAGTTCTCGGACAAGCACTGAGCATACAGTGCCTATTAATATACGTTGGGTACGGGCAAACCGTTATATATAATCAGTGACTTGTGATGAACTTTGTGAGGACATGTGAAGGGCTCATCTACCACACTGGATTGTGCATTTGGAATGTACATCTTGAACCCAACAAGGATGAGGTATTCAGGCATGAGTAACCTGTGCTGTACCCACTGTAAGTTTATATTCCACAGCTGTGGAATGTATCCGTCCCGAGTTGAAGTGCACCCCCAAGCGGCAAAAGAAAGACAGATGGTAGTAAATTTTCCAAGCAGGTTCTTGCACACGTTGTGTGTGTACGCAAAGACCATAAGTTAAGGAATAAATTTGTTACGCGCACTCGGCATACTCCGCGTCAAATGCACCATTGATCCTATTATAAACGCGCGCCTATGAGGTGAGTACTAAAAAAAAAAAAAAACCCTCTTTTGCTCCGCTGGGAGTGGATTATGTCATCATGATGCATTATGTACACTGATGTAAAATGCCATTGATAATTGACCTGCAGATACAAAAGATCAGTACGTGGTAAAAAGTCTCAGCTCCATTCAACTTGAAACACCAATCTCAGGTGAATTTTCAATGCAACAGAACTGTCGTTCAAAATAGTTGCAACATATCATATCAAATTATAACCTAAATGTATTTCTTCCTGTGCTACAGGAGCTATGTGAACAGGCCTCAGATACTAGAGATGTACATCAACCCACTGTACCAACCCAACTCCTCTGTCATATGGCCATCTGTAGCTCCGCAGAGCTTGGTAAGTTTGATGCATGGGGTCTGTGTGTAAACAAGAGCGGGCGCTTTATCAGGCGACAAGGTCCTCTGGGGTAGACATGCCATGTGCGCATGCTGGTTTGCGAGCATGATGTGCTGATTATGCATGAGTAAGTTTCATCTGAAAATGCACAGACTTCATGGGGATCACTGCAGTCATTGAATTTGAGTCTGTGCATGGCATACGTAGCGCTTGAGGAAAGACTAGCACATGGTTCAGTTCTTAGCCGGCTGCAACTGCCTTCACCAACTTACTTTTCTGGACTACACATGTATTTTTAAAAAAAATTTCCTAACGTTTTTGGAAGTTATATTATTTGTGAACACAGAAGATCTCGATTTCATTTTGACTTCTGTGTATCAGATTAATGTTTATATATGTGGCTGCTGCCCTTTGCGCTGAGTGGTTGGAATCTGCACATGAAACTTTTCCATTAGTTAATTAATTTGCATGTGACTTGCAAACAAGTCACATGTAGTGCTAGTTCCATCAACAAGCCACGTGTATGCCGCACAACACATTTACTTTCGTTAAAGGCTAAATAAATATTTGAAAGCAGTTGACCTTATTCACAAACTGGCTGTATGGAAATGAAAGGAAGGATAAAAAGTTTTTTTTGAGAACCTGAGAGAAATAATGAAAGCAATGAAATAATCATTCATAACAAATTAATAGTTATGGTAATTCAAAGCGTGCAGAGCACGCAGGGCCACAAACCGAGAATTTGCAGTTTGGCAGGTGGCCTTCATGGCTAAGTGAGGCTGGAATTCTTGGAGTCGGCTTTTGGGAAGAAATTCCCGTCAAGAGGTTGAAAACAAGGAACGTGAGGCATGAAACCCAAATAGTCTGGCATCACCCCATTGAACAGATTACATTGAGTAAGATAAATGCTAGGAACACAACCAACATGGCTTCCGTGTGGATAATGTCTGTTGTGTTCAAATGCCGACTCGGCCAGTCTCAGTTTGTAACCAGTGAGGGCGCTCTTCCCAGCATACGGAGCTCATGCTGTCATCTCATTGTGAGCAGCGAGCCTGTTCATCAGTTTGTTCAAGGATAATGATTCCTGTCTGAGTGTGTATTTGAAGTCTGTTGCATGTGAATGAAGGATGAACCAGCTTTGATCTAGGCTGTGTTGAAACAGATCTGTGATTCCACTTATTCCATGCATTATATGCACCCAGTCAGTACAGTCTTAGTTTCTTGACTCGTTTCTTACCATACCACCTGATGCATATATGACATTGTATTACTGAGACTCATCAAAGAACTTGATTGCATCAAAGAACTTGATTGCATCAATCCATGGTTTCTTTGCAACGTCGGCACAATGATCTCTAATTCTGCCCCGCTGTTTTGCATCTTTGGGGACAGATGCTGTGGTCAGGCTTGTTCTTACGATGGGACATGGACAACACTGTCAATGACTCTATAGACATCGAGATCCGTAAAATCCAACAGAACGACAAGAAGCTCAAGACGAGAGCGATACAGCTCAGGAAGTAGGTGTCCTCAAATATCTCCCACCCAACCCCCAGCTTTCTGCCCACCCCCATTTGGCTTTACATACATGTAGTTAATTGCTTAGAACGTACCTGTTCCAAGCCCAAAGTGTTTTTCGGTGGTAATGTACATCTCACACTTCAAAATCTAAATCAGGTTTATTTCTCTGTAGAAATTTTGAAAGTTTTCAATTCTGTGTAAAAAACTTGAAATTTGCAAGAACTGTGCGCCTGAACTGTATGTCCAAGTGAAGACTTACAGTATACCATCTCTACAGGCCAATAAAAGCACATCACCAAAACAAATGTGGTGGTGATACTAACAAACAAATGTTTTCCCCACCATTTGACTTTTTAGGTGAAAATGCAATAAGCTGGACATTTAACCACTTGCTGCCGGGGAACCCCATTTCAGACACATAGGCTTAATACACAAAACCGGGGAGTCCGAAACTGGACAAAAGAGCTGGGCCTTATAACAAAAGACTGTACTTGGGAACAAAAGACCGAGCTGCTGGGAATTGCCNAGTGAGCCTTTTCACCATGTAATTCAAAGCGTGCAGAGCACGCAGGGCCACAAACCGAGAATTTGCAGTTTGGCAGGTGGCCTTCATGGCTAAGTGAGGCTGGAATTCTTGGAGTCAGCTTTTGGGAAGAAATTCCCGTCGTCAAGGGGTTAAAAACAAGGAACGTGAGGCATGATACCCAAATAGTCTGGCATCACCCCATTGAACAGATTACATTGAGTAAGATAGATGCTAGGAACACAACCAACATGGCTTCCGTGTGGATAATGTCTGTTGTGTTCAAATGCCGACTCGGCCAGTCTCAGTTTGTAACCAGTGAGGGCGCTCTTCCCAGCATACAGAGCTCATGCTGTCATGTCATTGTGAGCAGCGAGCCTCTTCATCAGTTTGTTCAAGGATAATGATTCCTGTCTGAGAGTGTATTTGAAGTCTGTCGCATGTGAATGAAGGATGAACCAGGTTTGATCTAGGCTGTGTTGAAACAGATCTGTGATTCCTCTTATTCCATGCATTATATGCACCCAGTCAGCACAGTCTTAGTTTCTTGACTCGTTTCTAACCATACCACCTGATGCATATATGACATTGTATTACTGAGACTCATCAAAGAACTTGATTGCATCAAACACTTGATCCATGGTTTCTTTGCAAAGTCGGCACAATGATCTCTAATTCTTCCCCGCTGTTTTGCATCTTTGGGGACAGATGCTGTGGTCAGGCTTGTTCTTACGATGGGACATGGACAACACTGTCAATGACTCTATAGACATCGAGATCCGTAAAATCCAACAGAACGACAAGAAGCTCAAGACGAGAGCGATACAGCTCAGGAAGTAGGTGTCCTCAAATATCTCCCACCCAACCCCCAGCTTTCTGCCCACCCTCATTTTGCTTTACATACATGCAGTTAATTGCTTAGAACGTACCTGTTCCAAGCCCAAAGTGTTTTTACAATGGTAATGTACATCTCACACTTCAAAATCTAAATCAGGTTTGTTTTTCTGTAGAAATTTTAAAAGTTTTCAATTCTGTGTAAAAAACTTGAAATTTGCAAGAACTGTGCGCCTGAACTGTATGTCCAAATGAAGACTTACATTATACCATCTCTACAGGCCAATAAAAGCACATCACCAAAACAAATGTGGTGGTGATACTAACAAACAAATGTTTTCCCCACCATTTGACTTTTTAGGGTGAAAATACATGTATATAAGCTGGACATTTAACCACTTGCTGCCGGGGAACCCCATTTCAGACACATAGGCTTAATACACAAAACCGGGGAGTCCGAAACTGGACAAAAGAGCTGGGCCTTATAACAAAAGACTGTACTTGGGAACAAAAGACCGAGCTGCTGGGAATTGCTNAATATTTTTTCAGTTGTCAATAGCAGAGGAAATCCGTCTTTATTTGAGAGATTATACCACTGTTTGTGGCATTCAGCACATGCGGATTACCTTCGGGTACAAAAGCACTCCAGCGATGCGCGATACCTATCGTTGCACGCTAATCTGGCCCCCATTGAAAAGATGCCTGTAGTGCACTGTGCAAGTTACAGGAACAAAAGAAAGTTATATAACACTGCCCATCCTGTCTTTTTTTTACAAGGCGGCAGGCTTGGCTGAAATACTTGGGCATCAATAGATGTTGCCTGTCAGATTAGAGTAGCATCCGCCAGTTAATTGTGTGTGTGTAAACATCCAGTAAATGAAACTATGATTTTTTTTAAGAATTTTGAAAATGGAAAATTTCCAGGGTTTACGTCATGCAACTTCAAATTCCACCCAGTAGGAAGTGGTTAACCATCATTCCATATTCTCTTATTACAGACAACTCGCTGAATTGCAGAAAGAAGCCCTGGAGAAAGGTCTCATCAGTGAGTAACAGTGGGGCTAATGCTGAGTGGAGGTTCAACCTGATCAGGAAACAGCAGCAGGGCAATTTTGTGAAATTAAGGTTCAGGAATTAGCCACAGGGAACTTGCTGTTTTCAGCTTCAGCACCAAACTGTGGCTCCCCGCAGAATGGAATGGAATGTCTCCCAAAACTTGTGGAGTGCAGAATACTGGTCAGGAAACAGCCACCCGGCCAATTGGAATGTTTTTCAGCTTGATCAGCAAACAGCAGTTGGGTTGCACTGCAGTGCACTGGTCAGCTGAGGTCTGCAGGATGAGCTTAGAATGCAGCTGGATTGTTTATAAACTCTGCCATTCTACTTGTACAGAGGGTCAAAGTTCAACCAGGAAATGGACCTGTCAGTTTTAGTAGCAAGAAACAGCAGCAGGGTTGTACAGAGAGCTTCTGCAGGATACGTTTTTTGTATACTTAAAATAAATTCCACACTGAATGGACCTTGGTCATGTGACAATGAAGTAGTTGTCCTAAGGCCCAACTGCAGCGAAGACAGAAGTTGTAATCCATGTTAAAGAGAAATTCTGTTCATAAAATGTACAAGTACATAAATGTACATGCAGAAGTGCCATTACACATCACGGTCACAAGAGATTTCTGGACTGATACATCTAGGTAAAGAAAGAACTTTTTTTCCATGCAGGATTACATGTGCATTCGTATAAAATGTACTCCTAAACATTCACCGTTTGGGGCTATGGAAACCCCATAATTTTTAAAATGGCAAATAGCAGTAGGTGTGATCGGTGTGCCACCATTATTTATGCTAAAATATGTCATTGTATGAACCAAAGACCATGGGGGCAGTAATGTAATTACATGTAAGAATTCCTGGGAAGGGGCATTTGAACCCCCGGTTGTAGCATTGTGCTCTTCTTTTTGTTTCTTAAGATCTAATGTATAAACCTCTGAGCCAAAGAGCAGTTGTAGTAATAGCTAAGCTGCATGTGCAAGGAGATATGACAGAGTCAACATGCATTGGTGGCACGTTTGTACACATTCACATGAAAATGAGCCATTCCTACTGTGCAACCTTATGTTGTAACCAGTTCACGAGCATGCTGTATTTCATACACTGGTGAGCAGAGCTGTCGGTGTGCTGAATGGTGGAACCTACTGTTTCTACAGGAGTCCATCTACCAGTGTTGGATTTGAGTCTATCACAAGTCCCTGCAAGTCTGTCACAAGTCATTCTCTCTTTCAATTCACAAGCTTTTCAAATGAAATATGACAAAAGCACTGCAATGCCATTTTTCACCCTGTTAGTTACTTACCGGTATGACTGGCCTTGTGAAAGGATTTGTGATTGACTTGACTCCAACACTGCCATTTACATGTACAGTACATGTGCACATGCTGGCATCACAGTTGTGGGGATTCCACACATGTTGAGGAACAGTTATTGCAGGGACAAACTTCCAAAACTCACCCCGGACTTTTCTAACGAAAGAAACTGTCCCCTCAACAGAGGACTGGTGTAGGGCATGCACCTTATGCTCACACAACTGTGCTGTAATGTACATAGTAATTAAATACACAAAGAAGTTACTTGTATTTAATAAGTGACAATTCCATATTCCTCAACCCACCCCTTCCCAACAATTTTTCACAGATCCGGAATGCGGATGTGCAGTGTGTTTGGAAAATGAGAATGTTTCAAATACATTGTGAAGCTTTAAGTTTGGGTGTCACAGTGAGCACTGGTTGAAGGAAGTTTGAAACCATGAACTGTGATTTATAGGTGAGTGGACTAGGAGCATCTCTAACCAGCACACAAAAGACAGCCCTGCGGACATCCCGGGACTGTCCATTCCAACAGAAATTGATGGCGTGTGCTCAGTGTGGCCTGTGGAAGGCATGCACAAAACTCTTTGTGCACACGTTACATGTACGTCACAACCACAGGGATATCATTACTGTGGAAAAGCACATCCTCTCTTGATCCTTCATGGAGCAGATTGTTTCAAGTTCTTCAGCAACCACATAATTCAAAATGACAAGACACCATTGTAGTTGAAATTCATGGAGTGCATTTGATTTTCTATCAATCTACATGTAAATTGACCTTCCATGTTTTATATATTGTAAGAAAGATGGACCGAGAGAAAACAACTTTTTATTCTGCTCTATTTTTTTGGTGAGGATGAGCTTCGAATGCGACATTTGTCTGTAATCGAATTTGCCTGTATCATGCCAAATTTGCCATTATGATTGAAAACGAATTTACTTTGAATGAGGCAACAGATGATGTAAATGTGTTTACATTTCATAAAATACACGTATGTATTTATATATTTAGCAGGGAGAAAAGTAAAAATGTTTTGTGTGCATCAGATGCAATGAATTGATACGCACAGTAAAAGAGGGGCGGGATTCAGAGTGGCCATAACATTCCTTGTGCAACTCATCAACCTATGCCTTATGTGGATATTCCTTTGTCATCCCCTGAAAAGGCCCAAGCTCATTGTTCATGTACTTGCACTGTGAACTCTTCTTCAATCTAATGTTTGCCTGTGATTCCCTTGAATTTTCCTCTTCGTTTTGTGAGACACCCTATCCCACAAAGTTCCTCTTGAACTATTTTTTGTTTGTTTTTTTAAAGCATGGGAAAACTCTTCATGGACCTGAGCAAGTCCTCAGAAGGTTTCATTATCTGCAGAGTGTGGGGTCCTGTTGTTCACGTGTCCATATATGCAATGACATGCTGGTCCCACTTAACAAGTGCTGTGCAATTCCCATTTGAACACCTGGCTTTTACTTTAGTTTTAACTTTTAACGTGAGAAAAATGCCACCTGACCTGCCAAATAGTCTTCTGGAGTTGACACAAAAAGGGCAAGAAAGATTGATTGCATATGACATGCATGTCACAGACATGTGAAAACTGATAATTCTGAAAGCATCACAAATTCAATGCTATTTTAAAGCAACATTTAAACTTCTGGGTGTGGCTATGAAACAACCCAAAAGCAAAAAAATAGCAAAACCACATTTGGGGAAATTTCTTGAATAAACTTGAAGCTTAAATTCAGCATTTATGCAAGTAATGTTGGAATTACATGTAGTTCTGCAGAGTGAGCCTTAGAATTTCTTGAATTTTCGCAAAACAGTCAGTTGACACTCTAGTCTTCTAGAATTTATGCACGAGTTGTAGGCGACCAGGCATTTTGGCATGGGCATCATATTGAAAGTCTGCATTCAGTCACAGAAATCATTCATTTCTTTTCATTAATTGTATACTATTTCTTTGGGATCTCTTAATTTTCAGACATTCCACAGTTTTCAGAAAATCTGGTCTTCGGTCTGCAAGTGTTGTGAAGCCCTCATACCTTTCTGGTGGCATGACTCTTTGGGGTGCCTCAAAGAGTCCCACCTCCAAGGATTATCTGTCTTAGCTAAAACATAAAATGTCTTTTTTAAGCCTGCAGCACTGGATTAATTACATGTTGATCGCTTTCAAACTGCAAGACTGCACCAATGCACAGCAGTGTTCAGGTGTTATTGTTGAACTGTGAGCTTGTAGATGCAGAGTAACTGTCGTGCCTCTCATGCATGCAGAAATACAATGTTAAATGACAGTGATGTACTGTACTTTGAAAATCCTGTGAACAAACAAATAAAATTCACTTTTCTACACTCAGTTTGACATTTACATTATTCTGTGTTTTGGATAGACACCCCCCCAACTTGTGCCCTGGGAAATGTAAGATGGAGTATGAAACAAAAAGTGTCCCAACTTATGAACTTTTTGTTTGTAAACAATGTAGGTTTTGCCCTTTCAGATGGACTTAATTACACTGTGTTTTCAGTGTAGTCTGAGAAATGTGAAAAAAATCACAAGCTTGCTCAGGTGGGATTTAAACCCACAATTCCTGCTTAGTAGAGCAGACTTCTTGGGGCAAGACTTGACGCCATGCTACTGCCCAGCTGAACTTAATAAAAATGAGTGTGGCAATAGCTCAGCAATTACGCTGAACACTTAACTTAAATAGAGCAGTGTCGTGCCATTTGAATGATGATAGCGCAGCATACCCTGTCGAGCTCAAATTCAATTTGCCAAGCTGAAGCACTAAGCGCCGTGCTATGCCGAACTTTAAATAATCAAATTTTTTTAGTTCAGCCCATCAGTAGCATAGCCTAGACCTACACTACACAATCACTGAGTTTGCCCAGATGGGTGGTTGGCTTGAAAACATACACACACAACAATCCAAACTCTCACAAATACCAACCCTCAATTACAATGCTCTCTCACTACAACTGAGATAGCCTTAGGTTGGGGTTTTTCCAATGACTGTGGGACAGGTTGCATGGATTTAAGAAACCTTTTCCAGACGTTTTAGAAAGCTATCAATCTAAAGAAAATTAAAGCACTTACAGTAAAGAAAACTTTCTTAGGCAACATATTAAACTCTGTACGATAGACATTTTATTCACAACAAAAGCAGGAAATTAGAATGACAACTCTAGGCCTACTTGGCACGGTGCTGCTTTGAATCAAGCTAAAGAGAAAAAAACTAGGCTCAAGGAATTAAGAGGGCTCGAATTTTATGCTGTCCAAACATTTATGAGACTACACTAAGGTAGTTATTTTCTCAAGTGCAAGAAGTTCTGTGCAATTCCCCATTTGCAAACAGCTGGCTTTTACCTCATTTTAACTTGGTTAAATGAGAAAAATGACACCTGATTTACCAAAGTCTTCTCGAGTCACCTCAGCTTTATACCAAAATGACATGTGTATCCATTTGGGACTTTGCACCATCAGCATACAGTGTGGATATGCGCGTCCCTTTCAGCTAGTCAACTGTACAATATTACTGACGACAACTACAGCACCATTCTCACATGAACATGTACCGGTATATTCATCACTCACAAAGATGCGACCAATTTTATTATTTGTGAGTTTGAATTCATGTAAGCTTGTGTGCTCGGGTAATCATGACATTGCCACAGTTATCACAAAGTCACACACAGCTTATGCATATGTAAGAATGTCTTGGCTATCACAAAGGCATTCCAATGTACATGTAACCGTATTGTGGTGTACTTTGTGAAAGCAGTCACCATACAGTATTGACTATTGTGCATGTTCTTCATTGGCTCTAGTGATTAACCACCCACAAGGCCTCAAGACAGTTCCTTTCCACTGTCCACTGTCTGTACAGTGACCATAAGGTGACCCCGTGCCAGCTACCACAGCCAACAATGTAAATCATGCACAGAATCTTTGGTCAAAAAGTTAAATGCAAAGGTCGAGTATTCCCACACACAAATACTCTGCGCGCAATGTGTTAACTGTTGATGATGCCTTGGTACATGTACATGTGCATTAAACAAATCTACTAATGGAGCAACAACAAATTAACGTATCTACCATTTACTTAAAAAATCTAAAATACCTCAACTTCTTTTGGTCATTCCTACAAGTGCTGCAACACATTGTACATGTGTACTTTTTCAGACAAGGCAGGAATGGAAGAGCTACATGTATGTACAATGGTAGGCTGGTACCTCCATCGGTTCCAACTGGTACACCATCAAGATTCCCATTCAGTTGGAGTCATCAGATCACCATCTTGCAAGCAGTCTTGCATTTTTCTTTTCAGTTCAGAACATCTGAGTGGAGCATTTGTACTTCATCTCCAATGGGTAAACAGCAATTTGAAACGAACCAGTTGCCATGTTCCTGGCTACTGTGCGTGAACGTCTGTACATGGTCTGGCACCCCATATTGTCTTACAGCTTAAGATGCAGTTTCTGTTGGCTCTAGCGCCTGGGGAACATCATTGTTTTTCTAAAGAAAAAGGGAAATGGAAAATGAACACAGTAATAGTAATTCTTCAAATTCTGTAAATATGACAGAAAGGGAGAAAAAAAATCACTGTGAATTTGCAAGAGCCAGTGCAAAGATGCATGGTAGTGTTACTTAGCAAATTTTCTGATACTTAATTTTAGCTGCATATTTAAACATGAACACCATACTGCCTAAACAGAATTTTGTACCCAGCATATACCGTACCGGTACAATGGAACCCCGTCATGGGACTCACAATATTTCCTTATTACATAATGGTCCTTGAATTAACAGGAATGGAAAGCAATGAATGCAAACACCGAAAAACGTATGAGCAGGATGTTGTACTAAGTTACTAACGGTGATCTTACTATCAGGGTTTCACTGTGAAACCTACTCAATTATGGCAGCCTGGTAGGCAATGTAGATGCACATGTACGTGTCTGGTAAATGTAAATCTTCCCGTACATGAACCGGTATGCAATTTGATGATTAAATTAGAAACCGTTGTTCAGTGATACAAGTGACCTAGCCCATCACCAGCACAGCATGTCCTTTTGAGAAGCATGCTTACATGTAGTTGAAGCAATCATGGAAATTAAAATAGCCATTTCAATAATTAATAATTCATTCATTTATAAAGTGCAAATTACATATATATATGTTCAAATGCACTGTACAATGACGACATTAAGCGTAGAACAATGAATACATTTAAACATGGTTGAGCCAATGGCATACCGGTACAAGGGCGCCTCGCGCAGCCACCAAACGACCCATATTCACCAACATCAGTAAAGGGGAGACAGTAAGAAGCAGTTACAGTTTTAGAGGTGGGAGGAAAACCCCTGAGGAATAAGGCTGGGTAAAACCCACTGAGTCAGGTAGGGACTGAAAACCCAATCCACATGTGGACCGGGCCGGGAATCGAACCCGGGACCACAGAGGTGGAAGGCGAGGAAAGAACTACCTTGCCAACCCGACTCCCCACACATCACCCACATCCTGCCTTAATTTGCGACAATGCCCTCCATGAATGATCTTTCCATTACATGTAGGGAAAAAACACCTAAAAAGCCCACAAAAAAGTGCATCGAGCTCCTCCCTTGGTACCAAACTATAATTCTTACATGTCAGAAGTGTCATGTTGCTGCATGCAGAATAGCAGCCTATTTCTTGAAAACCAATCTCAAAACTAATATTGGATATATTACGCATGGGGTTGGGGTGAACCATCAGGCCCTTCATTCTCACCTGGCCGGTCTCCGACCTGCTGGGGCTCTTCTTAACTTTCTTGGCCTTCTTGACTTGCTTGACTTTCTGTTTCACCACCTGGAGATGACAAGGATTACAAACAAAAGGAGTATCATAAAAGTGGTGATAAGAAGCAAGTGAATTATTTGACGGCTGAAACAGTTGCAACAAACAGTGTGTGTTCTAGACATTCTCAAACAGAATTGCCTTTCTGTATTAAATACTTAATAATTAACATTCATAAATACATGTACCTCAGACAGTCTCCCTATTCAAAAATGTGCAACAAGACCGTGTATTAACATTTGATAATACCTGCTGAAAAGTGATAATGCCCACTGCATAAATAACACGCTGGCACCTGGATATGCCAGGGATTCTGGATCCAGACACGTATGCTTTATATGCGTGGCCGGGGTCTCCAAACTTGGACAAAGGGAACAGGGCCTTGTAACAAAAGACCGTACTCGGAACAAAAGACCAGGCTGCTGGGCATTACCGACATTTTTCACTCTCAAAAGTGGAGATAATCCAGCCTTGGTTTGGAACAGTATACCACGGTTTGGGGCATTTAGAGCAAGCGAATTGCCATCGGGGACAAAAGTGCTCCACCACAGCAGCGATGAGCCACACAGCACCGCTGCACGCTAATCTGGCCCCTATTGAAAAGAGGTCAGCAGTGCAATGAGCCAGGTTCGTGAACAAAAGAAAGTTATATAACACCGCACAATCTGGGCTCTTTTACAAGGCTGCAGGCCTGGCGGAAATACTCAGGCGTCAATAGATTTTGTCTGTCAGGCGAGAGGGGCCACCAGACAGTCCTTCACGTGCTTGTAAGTGTCCATTAAATGAAGATACGAATTTTTAAAGAATTTTGAAAACGGAAAAAATGATAAATAACCGGGCCCAACATCATCAACATTGATAACCGCCCCGGCAGGAAGTGGTTAATCAATTCTGATAGGTCAAGTGTCTGCATGCATGCGGCTCACAAAGTCACGTACACGTACATGTGTGCGCTTAAGAAGACTGAACGCCGATAAAGCCTGTACATTAGTCCATTCTCCTTAGCTGGTCTTAAACGCACATTTAAGACCAGCCAAGCACACACAAAAATTTCTTCCCTAAATTAATGGTATTCCTGTAAACGGTATTAAAAATTATACAAGCAAGTCAAGATGAAAAAAAAAATTCTCCATATAGTACACACTTTGTACAGGTGTATAGACATGTATGTAAATAGGAAACTGAAAATTATAATCTGAGGGTACCTGAACTCATGAGTTGATATTTATCAACCTGAAGTACACATACGTGTACATGTACCGGTACACCCTGCCGGTTTCCACTTACAGTCGAACCTCGTTAATAAGAACACTGTTAATACAAGATTCTGCTTATAACAAGGAAATGATTTGGTCCCAATCCTTTCTTTTTCATTGTTTTATTCCTGATTAGACAAGGTTCCTGTTATAACAAGGTAATTTGTTACATGTACCTCTTATTAATGAGGTTCGACTGTATTTGATTTCAAACTGGTCTGGCACAATTCACGAAATGCACTAACAGCAAGATAAAACTTTTAATTATGGGTTTTGCCCTTGCCCGATGTTTATTTCATTTAGTGCTGGGAGGTCGTGGGTTCGAGTCCCACCCGAGTAAGTTTGTGAATTTTTTCGTAAGCTCTCGGACAAGCACTGAGCATACAGTGTTTATAAATATATACATGTACCGTCAATGGGTAAAGGAAAATCGTGTAATTTAAAATAACATCTTCTCAATGCAAAGTACATGTACTGTACATGTACATCTTAACCCTAACAGCCCTGAATACTACAAAGTACTACTTAGTAGTAAAATGTAGTATACAGCGCTGTCACTTGACAGAAGACATGACCTTATTGTTCTCTGAAGCCATAAAATACAATAGATAAGACAATGTACATTACAGTGCTGTGGCACTATGAACGCATGGCTTTATGGTTCTCTGTACGAGGAACAATGGAAGTAACCTAGCCAGAAGTACATGTAGTACTTTGTAGTGCTAAGTCCTTCAGGCTCAGACTACTGCTTAGTACATGTACCTTGTCCACATGTTACTATTAATCTCACGTGTAGAGTTGGCTCCATATATTCGAGCATAAAAAGCCTGAAAATTAAAAAAAAATTTGCCAACAAAGTCTCAACTGCAAGGACATGTTTCCCTAGGGTATTGTAGTACTAGTAGGCCCCACTGAGTACTGTAAGCCAAATTTTATGCAGAACTGTTAGGGTTAAAGATAAAACTTGTAAGCACTTGCCATGTGCCCCAATGTACATGAATGTGTACATGTGCGTGTGGCTTTCAATATACATGTACATGTAAGTCTTGTATGGTACCCCCCCGGACTTCAAGTAAGACGTGCCATCACTACACACTGCTAAAAAGGCTCAATGGAGTAGCAACATTGTACTCAAGTATGGTAAACTTAAACTGCATTCAGATCTGTTGTCCGCATAAAGACTATGTCTTTATTGGAAGTACGCATACATGTAGACAAGCAGACAATAGACTTAGCCATCCTCCTGGAAGCCTGTTTCAGACGAGGTCTAACTCCTTGAATTCTTACTAACGAATAATGTCACTCTTACCTTCTTCTCTTTTCCCTTGTCAATCTTCTGCTTCTTCTTATCCTTCTTGTCCTGTGCATCCTGAGGCTCTTCTTTCTCCTTGTCAAACAGGTCATGTGTCCAGGTGGGGCTCCTCCTCCCGGCGTTAAACGAGCCTCGGCCACCCCTGGGCATGTATCTGCCCCTCATCCCGCGATTGTAGCCGGGGATGTAGTTCTTGCCCACGTAGCCGCGACCCCGACCGCGGCCGCCACGGTAGGTGCCGCGCATTGAGCCACGGTACCTGTTGGCTGTGCCTCTGTAGCTGCCTCGCTCACGCGAGTCACTGCTGTCCGGGGACCTGGAGCGGTCTCCTCGGCGGTCATGTTGCTGAAGAAAAAAAATTGATTCAAAGTAAGAATATTCATGTGGTATGCATTGAAATGACTGCAAACATCACAAATTTTGTGTCACAGCAACTTTACACTGTTGACTTTTACAATGTTCACCCCATGTATTTATGATGTTCATGTTCCTTGATAATACAGGTGTTCACTTTTGTCCTAAGCATGGCTGTACATGTAAATGAATCCATTCCCGAGTCCAGTCACAAAACCAGTCATCAGTCACAAGATGGACAATGACAAAGGAATGTTCTTGTCACAGGTCACCTGAACAGCCTGTGACTTGGTTCAAGACTGAATGACTTGAAATGGACTCTTAATGAACCTGCAGGGGCTTGTGCGGGTTTGTGATGGACGCTACAACACCGTCCTCTTGTGATAAACGTATGAGAGGCTAGTACAACGATGAACAGGACATTACCGTACATCTGACACGTACGTGTACATGTAATAGACATCCAAGTTTCAGCTGTAATAGTTATTCTTCAGAATATTGGACATTAAAAAAAATGAGGGGCTCTTATTCTGAGAGGTTTATCAGGGGAGTCAGACATACTGGCTACAGTGCCTAGGGCACTTTTGAGGACTCCTTGGTTTCATTACCAGAAACGCAGATTAATTTTCAAATATTTCAATAAGTGCCATAACGTACATGTACTGGTATCATAAACATGTTCCACTCACCTGGTAGAATGTGCGCTTCCTGGTCCAACTGAAGGACTTGCTATCTCCTTCACCATCAGATAAGGAGTTGTCTCCAGATCCTTTGGACATGTTGCCAAGCCGCTCTCGGACAGGTCTGCGGTCCCGGGATCGATGGTCCTGCGAGCGTTCGCGGGAGTGCGAGCGCCTGTGATGGTAGGACTTGTAGTGCTGACCTGGTGAGTGAGAGCGAGAGCGAGAGCGCGAGCGTTGCCTGGGCGAGGGACTAATCCTGCGCGACCGTGATCTGGACCGCGATCTTGATAGGCTCCTCATCCGACCCGGCGGAAGCTCCTGTTGCTGTTGCTCAATCTGCTTCCGGCGTGACTCCAGATCATGCCTCAGGTCATGCGGGCCTTTGATGTCTGGCAAGTCATCCGGCGGGTACTGGTAGGAGACGGGGCTCTGGGGCAGGCCCATGACGGGGGATCCGGCCCTCTGGACAAACATGGACTGGCGGTTGAAGTCCTGCAGGGGAGGAACCTCCTTTGGCGGGCCAAACTGATCCTGGGGCTGCACCTGGAAAGTTGTCTGCTGAGCTGGGTACTGGCTGCTGAGACCCATCGGCCCACCTCGAGGAGCATACTGAAGGTTTGGATCAGGGTAGGTGTCCCGCCTGGGCTCAAAGCCAGAGAGCAGAGGCTCCCGCCTCTCGATGATACCTTGTGCCTGGGGTGGAAGGACGCCACTTGGAAGGGTACCAGTGAAGTGAACATCTTGTCGATACACAACTGGCTCTTTCTTCTCCACTGCAGCACCTGGTCGTGTCTCAGGAGCTCCTTCCGACGACAAGTGCTCCGAAGTGAAACGGGCCTTTAGCTCCGGCCTGTCAAATATTTCCTTCAGGCCCTCGTCCTTGCGGCGAGGGATCTTAACTGAGTAGGGGTCAAATATTGGCCTGATGATTGGGGGAGGGGCCATCTTGACATTCTGGGACTCAGTGGGCAAGGCCGCCTTATACCCCTGGCCAGATATGCCAGGCTGGCTGTACTTCTCTTGGACTTTATAGTACTCTGGTTTGGGTTTGGAGATCTTGCGATCGTCACGGTAGGGTGATTCGCTGCGTCGGGAAGACTTGGGGGTGAAGCGCAGATCATCTGGGGACACAGCTTCGTATTTTGTCTTGTCGTTCTCTCGGTATCTCTCCTTGGAGTAGGCCCTTTCGGAAGGGTGGGTTGGGGTAAACTTAGATTGACTGCCTTCTGACTGGCTGTTGCCCCTCTCATAGACAACATCTCGGGAGGTCAGAGGTAACTGGTCTTGTCCCTGGACTCCTCTTCCATATTCCTCCCTGAATACATTATGGCCCGGAGGAAGCTGGGGCCCCTCTGTATCTCTGGCCTGACTGTCTGGGTGTAACTGGCCCCCACCTTCTTGGTAACCACCTTCACTTTGTTGGTGGCCTGGTTCCCGCCCACCCCGCTGCGGCGATCTCTTGGGAGACCGGTACCTCTCCTTTCGGTACGACGGTGAACGAGAACGTGACTTTGCCTTGCCGTAGCGGCGCTTTCCCGGAGAATATGAGCGTGAGCGTCTCCCGCGCTGTTTGGAGGAGGAACCCTTGTAGCCACCGCCAAACACTCGGTCCTTTCGGGGTGGGGTTCGGGAGTGGGAGCGCCCTCTGGAAGTCTTCTTGTCATGTGACCGATACTTGGGGTTGCCCCTGAGAGGGGATCTTGATCTGGACCTGGATCGTGAACTGGTGCTGCTGGAATAAGATCTGCATGAAAAGACAAATCAGGTTAATGTTTGTGTTCTCAGCCAACATGTAGACTAGAATCTATCAGCAGATGCAATGTTACCATTTCTAAAGTACTAAGATACTGATCAAACCCACATGGCAAATTAACTTTTACAAAAGTGTGCTTAAATTTTTATACTAACAACATGTACGTATGCATGTGTACATGTACAATCACGCATACCCCTATGAAAATAAGCGCTGGCAATCTCAAATGCATCTTAGGACGACTACAAAATTCCATACATGTACAAACACAGAGTCCAGGATAGTGTATGCACTAATAATGCCATTGAGTACTTTTCAAGGTATTGTAATGCCCGAGACACAAAACTCTCCAATGACTTACAATACACTGTTTGAAGACAGTGGCATTCATGTACTGCTCAGGACTGCTCAGAGTAAGTACAATATATCCTAAGTTTCTTCCAAGTCAACTTGCTGGCTCTTCTGAGAAGTTGACGATACAAAATACATGTACCAGTACTGTTACATGTACATGTATATTAATTCTTGTTGCCATAACAAATTCTGGACTTCACAATTTAAGTTACACTTTGTCCATGAATATCTCATACATGTATTGCACACTACAATGCTACGGGTACATGTACATACATTGTATTGAAGTTATTATTTCTAGTCATACATTCTGCATTGTATTGCACATCTTGTCAGATTTTGATTTATGAAATACAAAACTCCAGAATACAAGTTACATGTACTGTACTTCTAAAATCCAGAAACTTAAATTGTATATAGTAAAACTGGACAGAGAAAATATTGCTTTTCTATTAAGGGAAGCTATTTGCCAGAATACACCAACAACTAGCCAGTGTTACAATAGTCAACAACTAGCCAGTGTTACAATCGAGTCAACAACTAGCCAGTGTTACAATAGTCAACAACTAGCCAGTGTTACAATCGAGTCAACAACTAGCCAGTGTTACAATAGTGTCAACAACTAGCCATTGTTACAATAGTGTCTAACAATATATTCAACTCTGTGTATAATGTGCAGTAACTACACGTTAGACATTTGTGATTTGTTGTAAAGCACTCATTACCGGGTAGAGGAAGTGTGACTCATTTTGCTCAACATAAAATGCTATAATCATACATGTGTACGTGAACATACATGTACATGTAGAGTCATTCACAGCATAAAGTGACATTCTAGTACATGTACATGTACTGTCACATGTACTGGTACATGTGCACCGTACAATGGAATGATAGATACATGTACATGTACCCCCGGTACATGTATGTTTTTGTAGCTGCATGAGCGTTATTGCTAATACCACATGGGTGATTTTGCACAATGGTACACATGTAGAAAGGAAAAAGGGGCAATGTTTGAATCTGTTTCCTTCCCACAATGCCTTTCTACCACTGCCCCCATTTCCTTCCCACAATGCCTTTCTACCATTGTGCAAAATCACCCATGCGGTATTAGTAATAAGGCGAATGGGCAAGAGCCCGGTCGTCACTTTGTTGTAAAAAGCATGTTGTGTACATGAAGAATTAAAAACCTTCAAACCAAAGCGTGCCATGAACACATACACATAAGTGTCAAACATTAACTTCAAAAGAAATCTCAAATGGGTGGAAACAAATCAAACGTAAAAAGAACAGGGCGGGATGGGCTACTGTACTGATGTACATGACGTCACACTTGTTCATGCACTTTGCTATGGAGCCAGGTGGGGGCCTATGGTTCACTCAGCTCCATTTAAGAAAGCAATCACGTTTAAAAAAAGTGTGGTGTCATCAGTGCTGAGGTCTACTGAGGCGAGATGTACAAGAAAAGGGCAGGTAAAGGTGTGAATTAAGTGAAGTGCAAAACAAGAAATGGAGGGGTGCTAAGTCACAGGCAGAGTGATTCTAAATCATGCAAAACAGAATTCTTGCCTAATAAATACTGTACCTTTTCAGTTGACTAATGATTGCGTGACCGCAACATGAGCCGTCATGGACAGTCCACTTACATGTACATGTATGAAGATACATACACACGTGCATGTACAATGTACAATGTATGTACAACGTGTACAACATTTCCCTCTTCCAAGACACCTGCGGCGCTGGTAAACACCATCTTTTTTATTCCTTGGCAACTGACAAAGATTTGTCATCACACCACACTTTCTCAGTATCCACAGAGGGAACTGTGGACACCGTATGCCCAGGTTGGGCGTTTTTTTCTCTTTTACTTGGCACACTGTTCCTTTTGCTGGGCACTCTGCTTCCAAAGCTTGGCATTTTGCTTCCACTGCTGGGAAGTGTGTTCCAACTTGTTTGGTGCTGCTTCCCCGCACTGGGTGCTTTGTTCCCTTTGCTGGGTGTCATGCCCCCAACATCTCCCACTTTGGGCCACTCTGGTTCCAATGTAAGACATTCTGTTCCCATCTGTGGGCACTGTATGGGCTCTCCTGGTTGGGTGCTGCATTCCATTAACTGGGTGCCCCCATCCCCTTTTGCTGGGCATGTGATTTCCATTGCTGGACATTCTGCAGTCACTGCTGTGAACCACATTCCCTAAACTGTCGGTGGCTGTGAACTATTCTCTTAGCAGCATACCACATCCAAGGGCACTTTTGTTTCAACTACTGAACACTGCCTGTAATGCCAGCGCCAGAGATTTTGTTTCCTAGGTACATGTACATGAGGCACCTTGTAGTTGTACATGTAGGTCAAATGGGTGCATACTTCCTCCATTTCCTTTGTTGGGTGTTGTATTCTCTTTCACAGAGGAATCAGGTACCCCTTTGAGTACTGTACATGTACTTTGTTTCCATTCCTGAACACTGGCAATATCCATAGCTTGGTTGCGTATTCCCAATGCTGGGTGGTATGGTCCACTGCTTGACGGCATGTTCCCATAGCTGGGTGGCACGGTTCCAATGTTGGGCATGTTGGTGGTACTGTACAATGTACATTGTACAGTATGTTCAG